CAAAAAGGAAAGAAAAATGTTGAAAAATTGAATAAAAGGCAGCGCTGGGACTTGAACCCGTGACCTTAAAATAAACGTGTGCTGCCTTTGCCACTGGGGTGGTTGTACATCCGTTAACATAAGTAAAACAAATAATACATAACATAAACCCAGTCCTGAAAATGACTTCATCTTCAACCTCCAGCCATGGTTTCTGTAACTTGCTCATTTCTTAATAAAAATTAAAGATGCAAACATGAAAGTTGCTCCATTTTTCCATACGAATCCAACCATATAAATACCATAAGCTATAAATCAAAGATGAATGAGAATTTCTAAAAGTACCAAATTCTGACTTAACTTTTTTCAGAGATTTAAACCTAAAATTCTCTAAGCTCAATCAATATAAATGAAATCTATGGACATGTACAGTTTCAGGGAAATGATATCTACATTTTATCTTCACAAATGCAAGCTTAACAATGCCTAAATGAAAAGATAGAAGTTTAGCAAAGATACCTCAAAACTGGAAATCGTGAAATGCAAATGAGCTTGATTCAAGGTGCTGCAATGATCAGGTTAGTTTCCTCAAGTTCCCAGGAAGCTAGTGCAATGATTAGCTTGAGTAATGGATGGTTGGAATGGCCTAGAGAAGTCAAGGTGCAAGCTTCAGTTTTTGAAAATGGAGGATGATGAAGATGGAGTTACAGAAGTGTAACAGGGTATGGGATTGTTTATGTATGATATTTAGAAGCTTTAGAAACTAAAAGGCCAAGAAACACATGAGTAGATTTGAAGATTGGGTTCAAAACTCATAAATGACAAGTTTTGAGGTGTTCTTAGTGATTCTCTGTTTTATGGTGTTTCAGGGCTTAAGCATTTATCCTTTAGCTTGCAAATAGTGCATGTATTTATAGGCAAGAGGTTTCAAGTGTTACAATAACTCAAAATTTGAATTCTCAAGTTGTGGCAACTTTGCTTATTTTTTAAGTAAACATGACAAACATCTTCCCAAGGCTTGTACCATGCTATATAGAGTGGTTGCAAACTATAAACACGTTCTTCTGACTTTGTAGAAGAAGCTTGTGCAGGAGGAACACGTGAGAGACTCAAGAATTGACTTTGTGCATAAAATCCACTTTTCCAAAATGGCAATGTTGCCTTTCTTCCTAAAATGGTATTAAGCATGAGCAATGCATTGAATGCTTGGATTAAAGCTTCTAACAGATGTGTAGACATTTAATTATGGAGTTAAAAGCAAGTAAGAAGCCTACAATGTGAGGTTTTTACAACATGCTTGAAGATTAGATCAAGTGTTCATCACAAAATTGACTTGTAATACAAGAATGAAACCCTAACTTCATGGCTTCGATTCTCTTAGCTCAAAAATGATCTTAATGAGTTCTTGGACATTTTGGAAATCTTGCAACATCCTATACAACCTTCATGTTATACATTTTTGAAAATTCAATTTGGGACTAGGTGAAAAATTTCCATGAAGTTAGGTCAAAATCCTGCCTAAACTAGGACAAAATTTCACTTTTTCAAGTTTCATGAGCATGTCTTCACAAAATCATAACTTGAAATCTAAGCATTTATAGGAAAAGTTATGCCCTATAATGTTTTATATCTCATTGATATCTACAACTTTCATGTTGGAAGTTTCCATTGAATCATCTTGTATCATGGTGAAAAATTGGCTCAAAGTTATGAAAAAAGTGAAATTTTCAACACTTAGAAAAATTCGAAGTCTTGGAAATTCTGACTTTTCAAAAATGAAATCTTGACTTTTTGATTTCTTGATGAACAAGTTTCATATTTTGACATGTATTGATGAATTATAATCTTTCAAACTTGATTTTGATCAAAAAGTCAAAGTTTAACTTTTCTGTGTATACTTGACTTTTCATCAGTTGACTGAAATTCAACTATCAATCAAATGATCTTGAGAAATGTTTTGGGCCATGCCATTAGGTCAAAATTAAGCATTTGAATCCTTTAGATCATTCCTTGAACCAATAAGTCATTTGTTAGGTCAACAATCAGAAATTGCACCTTCTCAGTCAAAACCCTAATTTTGACCATTTTCCCTTTTGATGATCTAATCAAATTTCTTGAGGACTTGTGATCCAAACTTGATCAAATGACATATATGAGTTCATAATGTTTATGTGGATAAAAAATTATGAAGTTTGACTGTAAATTGACCACAATTAACTTTTCCCCAATACAGTTGATTTTAGGTCAACTGATCAATTGACTGAGCAAAAATGTGATCCAAGACTTGAAACTTGACCTGAGAAATATTGAGGGTCCAAAATGATCCATGAAAGTCATATGGGGCATTAAGAGTCCATTTGTCCTTGTGCAAACTCAAAACCTAATTTCAGTCATCAGTGCTGAGGAGGTGTCTTGAGCTGATCAAACCTTGTGTAGTCTTGAATCCATGGAGATCTTGTGAGAGATTACTTGAGAAATGAGAGGGAAAATTTTGGGGTACTACATCTAGACTATTAGATCGCTTTGGGGTAGATACAAAAGTAGGAAAATGCAGGAAAGTAAACCCCAATTACTATTACATCATGGGAAACAATTACAATAATGATGAAAAGGGAAACGAAGAGTCTAAGCTATTACAATTCACGGAGATAAAAGTAAGAATAAAAGAAAGGTGAAAAAAGGAAAAATATTTTTTGAGGTTTTTTATGAAATTTTTTTTTTATGATTAACCCTAAAAACCTAATTAATTTTAATTAAAAATTGATTAATTAAATTAATTAAAAAAAACCTAAAAACCTAATTTGATTAGGGTTTGAAAAATAAGTTTGGTTTGTTAAAAAAAGTTTATGGTTGAATTTAGGGTTTGTTTTAAAGAAGAAATGGAGTAAGAAGAATAAAAAACCATAAATTGCCAGGGGTTTCGTGTCCTTTTGATGTTTGAATGAGTGAGATTATATAGCTTGAATTTAGGTCAAATAAACATGGGCTTAGACTTGTGTAAGAAGGTTTTGTTTTATCCTTTTTTATTTTGACTTTTAAAATAATAAAAATAAAAAATAAATATAATAAACCAAAGGGGGTGTATGAACAAGTCTTGAGGTTCACTATGAAGTGTATGAAACGTTTGGACCTTGAAAGATCAGCCCAATAGTCTAAATTTTCAAATTTGCTCAATTTGAACTTCATGCATTTGCTCAAAATTTCCCAACTTGCACTAGTCATAACTCTCTTAATTTTCATCATTTGAAGGTGATCTAGGAATTTTCGTAAATCTCAAGACGTTCTCTACAATATCTATGTTGATCATTTTTGCATTTGAACATTTTATCTTGATATAAAATTCCTTGACAAAAAGTGTCTTTTTTTTAACTTTTAAAATGACCTATAATATTTTTGCCCATATCTCTCAAATGAAGCATGTTTTGGACTTTATCTTAGAGAGGAAAAGTTTTAGATAATTGAATTTCCTTCAAAGTGAGCTTTGGTTGAGTAAAATATTATGAAGCATGTGAAATTTATGCTTGGTCAAAGTGCAGTTGACTTCTCCTTAAGAAAACCCTAATTTGGCAACTTTTGACTTTTGATGATTTGGGAGTTTTCTTGATGAATCATGATCAACCCTTGATAAAATGATGAATATCAATTCAAAACCTTAGTGTTGACCAAAAATCTTGAGGTTTGACTGTATGTTGATCTTAATTTACTTTTTGTCCAATACAGTTAATTTGCAGTCATCTGAGCAACTGACTGAGCAAATTTGTGATGCAATGCATGAAACATGGTATGAGCATTATTGGATACATATATGAAATAATGGAAACCACTTGAGGCCTTAGAAACCCAAACTTCCTGAGAAAAGTGAAACCCTAGTTGTAAGTCCATTGCTTAGGAGGAGAATTTGTCTGATCAATTCTTGAGAAACCTTGAGCATTTGAGAACCCTAGGAGAATGCCTTGAGATAAATGGGAGGGAAAATTTTGGTGTATAATACATAGGATGCGAGAGTATTAAGAAGAAGAAGATAATTAATAGTATTAAAGGAGTAGTCAATGTTCTTACCTCGCACAGATGACCTATAAGAAGTAGAACTTTGAAAAGTGGCGTTATCATAAAACTATAAACCAATATTTTTATTTTTTTTAGATCAAATTGTTAAGTCTTACCCATCACCTTTGTTGCAGCATTTCCACGACTTCTTCAAACACAATCAAGTCATTGCAATCGAACGCCCTCTCCTTTACAATGTGATATTCCACCAACTTGAGATACTTCTCAGTATTGGCTTCGGATGAAAACTAGAGGTTGGAGCATTTGGTGTAGGTTGAGGGCTGAAAGTTGAACCCCTTTGAATTCTAATTCTTTTAGGTGTCACCTTCTATATAATAACAACACAAAAATACGACAAAAAAGCAAGAAAATAACCGGAGAAGTGATGTATAAGAGAAGAGTGAAAGAAAGGACGAGAGGGTGAATAGATGGTGTGGTGTGGAAATGGCGAGAAAAATGTTATTTATAGGCCATTCGGTAAGCCATCACGCATGTGATAGTCTATATAAAGCACGTGATACATTGCATCACGTGCGTGATGCTAACTTTTGACCCCAAATGGTTACTTCCAAGAGAAACATCCAACGGCTAGATGCTACTATTTTTGTCATTGTGCACGTGATACCAATCATCACGTGCACGACGAAATTTTTTTTTGCTTTTCCTCCTCTTTCTCCATTCCTTGTTTTTTTACCTTCTTTTTGCTACCATATCACTTTTCCTTTGATAAACTATAAAAAGAACATAATTAATTCAATAACATAGAATTTAAAAAAAAAAATCTAAAATAAACTTACAGATGGGTTGCCTCCCATCAAGCTCTTCTTTACCGTCATTAGCTTGACGTGTAATGCCTAATGTATGTCATGTGCAAGGGCTTCCCTTACTCCATATACAAATCCTCTGGTCATTCCTTCATCATGTTTGGCTCCTTTAACTTTAAATTGGTAACATGCTTCCAATTCGTTTGTATATTACGTCAGCTCATAAGCGTTAAAAGTCACATGTTCATTGTTAAACTGTAACATGAGCTCACTTGATTCCATATCAATCAGTGCCTTACCAATTGCAAGGAATGGCCTTCTGAGAATTAATGAATTCTCAGTGTCTCCTTTCATGTCCACCACCATGTTCAGCTTATTTCTTTTTCTCCTTACCGGATAGAAATTACTTCATAAACTTAGAAAATTTAGGCATTAGTTCTAAAGTTTCATTAAAAGAAAAACTTACCTGGAGCTTAGTAATCATCTCCTTAAACTTTTAAATTAACCCTACTTCATTTTCCTCTTTTGGTTTCTTCTTGCGGATGGTATAATGAGATTTGATATAGTGGGGCAGCTCGGGACTATGGTCGTTTAAGACATGTTTCTTAGTCCTCCTCGAGGGTGAGTTTCTATCTATAAGTTGATCATTTATGACTCCTCTGAAAGATGAGTCACTAGTGTTTTCATTCACTTCTTGTTCATTATCAACTTCTACCTCTTCCATTATCTCCTCCTTTTCCAAATTATTGTTCCTTCCATACCATGACTCTAAAGCTTTACAAGTTTCATTCTTAGGGTTATAAATTGTGTTACCAATAAATACTCCATTTGAACTAGGTAAAGCATCCACCTGTCGGGATAATTGACTAATTTTCATTTCTATAGTTTTTATGGATGCATCATGGTTCTTACTCGTGGTTTCATGATGTTTTCTTACCTATTCAAAACTTCTTTGAGTTGTTTGAATGAACTTATTCAATGTCTCTTCCAAGGGTGACGTTTTCCTTTGCACTAGAGCTTGTTGAACTTGTTGAGTACTTTGGTTTCCATTTGAGGGTTGATTATTGCTTCATTTAAAATTGGGATGATCCATCCAACATGATTTGTAAGCATTTGAATACGGATTATTTCTCTAAAAGTTGGCCAATTGCACTTCTTCACTAGGACCCTCTTTAGAACATATTTCATTTGCATGTCCTTCCCCGCAGAAATCACACTTTAGTGCTTATATCTTACTCACATTAACTTGATTCAAGTTACTTTTAACTAGATTTTTATTTAATAATTTAATTTGAGCTAATAAGGAAGTATGAGCATCTAAAGTTTTCATAACTTTTGGTTTACCTTCACTTTCAGTCTTTACCGCCCTTTCACTCTTTGAACGATATTTGTTTAAGGACATTTTTTCAATCAAATCTCTTATTTGAGCTTCAGCCATAGTTCTGATTGTACCTCCCGTGGAACCATCCAAAAGCATACGTGTCTGACTCTTGAGCCCTTTGATAAAGTGTTGAATTTGATCCATTCTACTCATATTATAAATCAGAAACCTGCATAATAACAGTTCAAATCTTTCCCAGGAATCATAAAGAGATTCAGTCTCTTACTGCTCAAAATTAGTGATTTCGGCTCTTGTTTCAGTGAATTGTGTGGTAGTGAAGAATCTTTCTAGACATTTGTCTTCTAACTTCTTCCATGTTCCTATTATATTGTTAGAAAGACATAACAACCAATCATTTTCTCTTCCAATTAAGGAAAAACTGAACAGCATCGACTTCACTTGATCCTCAGTAACATCATTTGGTCTGCACATTGAAGTTGTTTCATAGAAGCGATCAAGATGCTCCCACGAATCCCGAATTGCACTTTCATAAAAAGGATTGTCCCTTAAACATGAAAGAACATAATTCTTAATATTAAAGTTAGAGGGGTTATCGGGTACAAAACCCCGAGAAATCTGCTCTGCATGATTTTGCTTGCAGTTGTCTCCCATGGTGAGAAGTGGTGGTATGAGTTCCATGGTCATTTCTTCATCGATTTTGTTGTCTGAAGAAACAAGTAAGCTCTCCTCCACTAAGATCTCTTGTGTTAGTTCTCTATTTTTAGGATTGGCATTAGTTTTAGTAAAACAATTATAACACCAATATGTTAAATAGAATGCAATTACTTGCTATGAAAAACAGGTGGAGTAAGAAGTCCTATTTCATGTTGAGAGATGTCGAGTTGAAGTGTTTCAACATCTAGAGCAGCATGTCGGATAAGATGTCCTATGTAGGGCCATATGACACCGCGCCTGAGCTGAACAGTTGGATTTTGTTATGTTTTAATAGATGCAGAACATTCCGGGAATATTATGTAATCTTATGAGGCACTGATTTAAAGGTCTGTAAGAATCAAGAAGAATATTGAATTTCTAAATAAGGATACTTTTTAGGAAAGATTTGATTGAAGACCTATTTTGTAGCAGAATCTTCTACAAATTTGTAACAGCCAAAATTCAGTTGGGAGATAGGTTATAAATAGAAGCATTGTAACCTAAGTTATGTACCAGCCGAGAATTAGAAAGATGTATTAATTTTGGTTGAGTCTGTAAGCCACTCTCTAGGAGATTTGGCATGTGTGATCCACTCGACATTTGAGTTGGATTGTATTCCTTGGAGTGCAAGGTTTTGTTCTCACTCAAAAACCTGTAGGTAATGAGTTGATTATTGTTCTTTGAGGAAGCTTGTAAGCAACTCCAAGTTGTGTTCTTAGTCAAGAATCTTAGTTAGGTACTGTCATGGAAGTGTGTCTTCATGTTTTGTCCAATTGCTATCTATGATTGACGAGGGATTTATGAGGGCCTCATATCTAGGTGAGTCTTAGATAGAAGTATAGCACGAGTAGTGATTAAGTGAGTAGATCGTAAATTGGTATGTTTGTTGTAGGGTCTATGAATTGATAATATCATAGTGGACTTGTCCTTGGCTTGGTATACCCCCATAATAGGAGAGTTACTCTGAACTGGGTTTAAAAAAATTGTGTGTTGTTTATGCTTTTCAGTGTTGTTTTTAAATTTGTATACCTTTCCTTTATTGTTTTAAGTCAGATAAGATGTCCCAACATGTCATAGGACATGTGAAGTTTGATATACCATAATTTCAATTGGTATCAGAGCAGACATTTCTGGGTGAGATCCTGTGATGATACTTTCTGGTCATGGGTAGGGAATAAGGTATCTACTAAAAGTTGTTTGAACTTGGACAGTAATATTGTTGTTTGAATGGTCCCTTGAAGTTAATGATGGACTATTCGTGACAGGGTGTGTATTGGATCTATTTGTGTTGTTATCAGGCCTGTAGCTTTGGTGGTAAGCAGTTGTATTAAGTTTATTTCTGATCCAAGTAAGTAGAAGTGCATAGGTTGAGCTCTAGTATGCAGTAGAGTTGTGTTATCTCAGTAAGGTTCCTTGTACATAAAGGTCAAATGTCAAGGACATTCTCTCTGACATTTGTAAAATCCTTCTGATCAAAGGAGCCAGATTTATGGAATCTAGTTTATGGCCATAGAACAAATTTGTCTTGAAGGAAGAAATTGGTGTGTAACAACTACAGGATGTGCGGCTATTGAAGGGGATAATGTATAATTCCCTTAGGAGTTCTCAACACTTAATAAAGGGGAGTCCTTAATCTGAAGCTGGAAGAACTTGAAGATATATCAGACGTAATGTCTTGACATCTATGTGTTGAGAATTTATTTTTCTCAACTTTTCTGGATAGTGTTCTTCATATATAGGTTGGAGGATGTTTACTCAAACTTGATATCACTATAAAGTCTATGATAGCATGGAACTCTTGTTCTATAATGGAAGAAACATCTAAGGGATTGTCTGCATTGGAGCTAAGTGGTTGATTGGTGTCTGCACTGTTGAAGTATCATCTAAATCACCTAGGATGAGCATTTCATATTTTTGTTTGGATAAGGAGGAGAATTTTGTTTTGGAACCAAAGGATCATGGTTATTACTGTTTGGGAAGTTTCTCCTCAAGCATGGGTTCAGTTATATGGTGGCCTCACATGATGAAACATTTGTTTTTGCAAGGATTAAAGAGCATGCTTGTGTTTTGAATAATTTGAAGAAGTAAACTGGTTATGGTATGTGTTGTAACCCAATTTTTGATCCTAAGATCCCTCTATCACATCATATCAATTTAATTACAACAAGATCACACACTAGGGTTTGGTTCTTCTCCCTATCTTTAGCTTTGCTCTATAGGTAATTACCAAGTACCTTGACTTGTATTTTTTTGATCATATATGTTTTGATTATCCTTTAACTAATGAATACAATAAGTGTTTGCCCAAATTGATGATGCTTATAGGAGGAAGCACAACACATTCCATCAAGATTGGTCTATGGATTCATGAGTTCATTTCTATGCCTTCCTCGGCAAAGCTTCTTTGAGATTCAAGCCTCAACATTGAAGATACTTTGAAGAAATGTCATGACAAATTATATTATGATTCATCATACTTCAAGTTTTCAAAGATAGTTCAAAGGTACAAGGGTTGATTGAAGAAATTTGTCTCAACTAGGCAAACCCTTGATTCATTGATCACAAGTTCACATCTCCTTCAATTCTCAAGATTTGAAAGTGGTTTTGGTTTCTATGGTTTATCCTTATCATCCTCAACAACTCATATTCACATCACAAAAGTATTTTTCTAAAGAGGTAGGTCAAAATGGCAAAGGTTTCCCATGGCATTTTCTTGCTCTAGGAGCTAGGGTTTTAAACTTCAAAGGGGTATATCTTACTCATCTTTTGGTATTTTTGAGTGATTCCAAAGACATTCTTCTCTTTAAAGGGTTGTTACTAAATCACTTCAAAAGTTTCAAGGAAATTTTGTGTGGAAGAAACTTGACGATGAAGAAAGATTACAAGTCCTACAAATGAACCCTCAAATTCCATTAGGTGATTTCAAATGATCATAACTTGGTCAATTTTTATCACCTTGAACCCATTATTTTTACACAATGATCTTAAAGATGTGAAATTCAACCCATATTTTAAGTGAAAAGTGTAAAAATGGATGGAAGATTCCCTAAGGATGCAAAAGATTATATGTCATTTCATGAACTTTTGCCAACTTCAACAAGTCATAACTTTCTTAATTTTTGGAGATTTTGAATGGTTCAAATCTTAAAATGTCATTCAAGAGATCTACTTCATGCCATATTTTTTGGTCAAGATATAATTTCAAATGGAAGTCCATGTTTGGATGCAAGAGATTATAAGTCATTTTTGAAGAAAAACTTAGAAATTTTCTAAGTATAGAAAGCCAACCTCTTTTTATCAACTTTGAATCATTGCAACTTTCAGCTCAAGCATCTACTTGATCCTATTCTTTTCACATTATAAATATTTTAACCTTATCTTTCTAAAGCTTCAAGAATCATGTCTTAAGATCCCTTGAGTTGAGAATGCCATTGATTTGAATTTGGTAACTTAGAACTGAAATTTCTCCAAAAGTCAGAATTTGAAATCCTTGTATTGGCTTCTAAACACAAAATTGTTGTGCATTTTTACTTCTAACCATGTTTAGTGAACCTCCAGGAGTGATTAGCATGATGAAACGCAAGAATTGGATGAGTTTTAATCAAACTACAAGTCACACTTTTCTTGTTTGCAACTTCACACGATTTCCCTCCAAACTTCATCATTTCACACGCTTGAGCATTCCATTCACTTCCTTATAAATAGAGGATCATCCCTTATTCATTTTCTCAAGCTTGAAGAGCCAAAATCACTCTGCAAAACTCTCTCCATAACACCCTTTTCTGATATTTCGAATTCTTATTTCTACCACTTTTCAATCCAATTTCTTCCTTGATCCTTCA